AAAATGGTCAAGCACCCTCGAGGCAGTTACACAGTGCTTACAACTGTCTCAGGAATTGAAAACACCAGAAAATAAATTCACGACGTACGCAGCTGTCATCCGTACGCAAGGAACTAAGCACAAGATGCCGAACACCCTTAGCAGGATGCAGCGCACCCTTCATGCGACTCGCCGAATATCTCACGGCGCTTCNCAATGGTCTAACGACTACGGCATGCACGACTATGAGTACACCCCCCGCATGCTTTTGCACGTGCCCTACAAGTCATACTCTTTAAGTATGAGACATGCACTTTGTGAGACAACGAGTTGTCCTTTGTTTGAAACAAAACGAATACTGTAGAAAATCAATTCGACCGACCTGCAACTATGGGAAATCGAAATCGGAAAGTGATCGTGACCCGTCCCGAGTCGAAAGAAGGTCTCGTGGCATCTTGCGCCGTGGGTTGTGCATTTGCGTTGTTCAATCAGCAACTGAAATCCTCTAACAGCAACTCATCGACGCACTGTCTTGTGTGTAACCCATCCAGCGAAGCATTTACTTGCCATACAGTCTTGCATCTAGCCAATGAGCTTGTATGCATAGATCCGAGGTCATACAGGATAGCTCTTCAGCAGCTGTATGTTGACGAACAGGCGCATTTTACAGCAGTATGCGTATCATGCACGAACTGCGGAATCGAATGCTGCAAAGTGGTCCACCTAAATTTCAGAAGCGTATACTGTACTTTTACAAGGCCTTCCTCCGGAGTGTGTTAAGAGAGCACCGCGGCAGGGGGTGATGCAAGAACATGCAAAAGGTAACAGAGGAAAGCAGATGCTCGTAGATATGCACAATGACAGACTAAAAGGGTTCGCGCCGTTGTTGGGAGCCGGCACGAGAGTTTTAAGTCCATAAAAGATCCTTCTGTAGAATTTTGGCTGCAAGAACAGCACGCGAACAGTTTGTTTGTTTCGCCAACGTGCAAATCTCTTGAGGGCATCCGACCCTCGTACCTATAGAGTTCACCCTTCTCTGCGCCTCTACACCTAAGATTCTGAACCTGTGCCTCAGCGGTCTGCACGGTGTGTATTGCTCCAGCATTGCTCTGCACCTCTGCTGACACCGCGACGGCATGGGTCGACTGCTGGAAACTACACGTTTCTGCTTGCTGCCTTAGTTCAGCAGTCGGAATCACGCATGTGTGTGTATGTATGTGTAGTCTTGGTATGTGTGCCGCATGCGCATATACGTATGTGCGTCCCAACAACAGAGAGAATAGGCATGCGGCGGTAATAGACCATGACAGACGGACCCAATATTTCTCGGACTGTGCGGACTTGGAAAACCCTCTCGTGCCCCGCCCGCACGTACAGGCGGATACGCTCGCTCCGCAGCCGCTCTGACAGCTGCCGCGTCAACGCTTAGCTGTTGGCATGTCCTGATATGCTACTGCTAACTTCAGGAACAGCTGTTCTGCCGTTTTTGTTGCGTGGTCAATCAGTCAGCCAAAGTGAATCAGTTCACAGTCTTCTTACAGCCCGATTTCTTGAGATTCTTGGGAAGGATTCACAATCAGTACTTACTTAGTCTTGAAGAAAAAACATTCATCGGGATTTTGGATCATATGCACAAGCCTGCGTTCCTTGGACCACTTTCCACCATTGAACATATAGTGAAGGGAGCTGCCAGATTTGTCAGTACGTACGTCGGAGAACGCGTCTTACATATGCTCCCTCGCCGTTGGCTCTGAGAACAACGTTTTGAAGGAACGTTCCTTCGTAATGAACCACGGGTTTGATACGGTGGATGCTGAGGGAGGCGGCAGGCACAACAGTAAAGGAGTATCGCGGATGGACTGTTTACGTCAGTGGTGAGCGCTCTTGACAGCCAGCTGTCTGTTTGCTTGTCCGCCCTTCTGTTCGGTCCTCAGCGGAAAATCGGTAAGCAGTTGCGGAAGATCGACGAGATCCCGGAGGACGACCGTGGAGGGGACCCCGCCAGCGGACAGGTACGCGAAGTGTTAAAGGGTGAGACGGGTATTTCATCGTTTCTTCGTCGGCCTCTCTATCTGGGCTTGTGTGACTTTATATTTGTCTTGTTAGCATCTTCCGTGTAAACACGAGCATGCGAACTGTACGTGGGCCTGTTTTGGTGTTTGGAACAAACTTGTGCCTGCGTCCACTGTGCTGCCGATTGCTTTTTCGGGTACCTTGCTTGAAATGTGGCTACCGTTGCGGAGGGTGCACACAGCGCGCGGGAATGCGTGCATGCATACCATCCCGGAACACATGCCTGACTTTGTCACGCTCGGCATCGCGCACCCCTGCACCCGGCGTCATGAATGCAGTTTGAGGACTCCGATGAAGGTTCAGGCACTAAAAAGTTCGCGGGGACCGCAAGGGATGAAGAGTTATTATTTGAAGAAAAGGAACCTGAAGACGACTCTAGGTCGTCCAAGTCGCAAGACGATAAATGGCAAGAGCAATGGTTTTCGCACGAAGACAAGAGGTTGGACAAGTTGGGCTTGGAGGTAAGGCAATGCAGAATTACAGTATTCCTTGGTGGGTAATTCTCTTGGCGGGGTACGTGGTTTGCATGGCAATGCAAGACAGCAGCGGCCTGCTCGAAAGAACGCAAGCCATTAGAGTTCGAGACTCAAATATGTGTGAAATAATTATAGTTTCGGCCAAGGGATTGGGCTAGTTTGCCCGCGCCGCACTAAAAACCCTGGCATTTGCTCCTGTAGCTTGGCGATTTTTCAAGTGTACAGTATGTATATAGCCTGTTGGTGTGGTGTTCAAACCTCCGCCCGAATGAGAGTGCTTCTGTTAAGCCGTCTGTGGTTTGTTTTCGAGAGTCCGTGACGCGCGTACGTGCGTGTTGCCATTTTGGGTGCCACTCCCGTTTCTCAATACAGCAGCAGATACCGTGCCCTCACCCAACACTTACAGCTCACCCTTTCCCCACTGGGGTATCTTATTGGGGGGTTACGTTGGTCTAACCCTCCCATTATACAGCAGCCTGAAGGAGAAATGGGAGGGGACCTACCGGAGCTTGACGACTGTGAGGAAGATGACCACTTCGATGCTGACGATGAGTGGGACGACGAGGCCTGGAAAGGGTACACTCCGGAGCAAATCGAAGAGTTCAAGATACTGGGCGCCAGACTCGAGGAAGAGGAGGTAAATCGTCTGTATATTAGTCTCCAGGTGCACACCGTTGCCGACGCCGTGATGTTCGTGTTCACTAGCTTCACTAATTCAAGTGCGCACGGTGCGCTTTTCGGACACAACCAAGTTACTGCTGAAATGCGAACGCAGATTATTGAGAATGTGGACACCAAGAGACAACCACAGGTAACCAACCGATTGAATCATGTGTCAACATGTGATGAATGTGAAATACGGTGCCACAGCGACATGGTGCGGCAACCTTGAAACGAAGCAACATATTCTCGGAAATATGCACTCGGACTGCTTGTTACGTATCATCGCCCCGCTTAACCTGGTTGTACCCTTCTCGTGCTGTCTTGCCGCACCCCCTTGGGGTATTCACAGAGCAAGCAGATGGCAGACTTGCGCAGGAGGTGGAAGGAGACGAAGGCGGACTCAGTGAAGAAACACGGAACTGCGGAGCACCTAGAATTACCGGATATCGTTATCAAGCACGAGATCACATACGAAGCACCTCCGGGCAAGGCCAACGCAGACCGCTCCATGCCAACACCACGCCCAGTGGTCAGTATTTTCATATCTTACTCCGTTGTGGAATAGGGATGAGCTTCTCATGCTTTGAAAGGGAAACCCTGGCCTGTGTCCTTTTTTGTCGTATCGTGGAGACACCAGCTGTGCCGCGCTTCAAGCTTAACCCTGTTGCCGTCGTACATATGAATCCAGGAAACAATCGTCGACAGCATGCAGCTTCCCCCTGGCCTCGACGTGACGCCGGACGACCCAGAGTACGAGGAGGTGGTAAAGATGTGGATGACCTTGTCCCGCAACAACACAATGGACGAGGTGTGTCTTGCCGCCCAAATGCTCTGGACTTGACCGTTGGCATTGCTTGAAACACAATACATACAAGGATATCAATTCGTGTTGGAGCTTACGGCCTAAAAAATCTACGTTAGTGGCGCACGCGACTCTTCGTGCCCCTCAA